TTGGAGTTCGACTCCGGATCTGGCTCCGCAGCTGCTCTATTAGTTCAGGATTCTGCTGCTGCATCTGCTGGGCGAACTGCTGGCCCCTGAAGGACGACAAGCAACGGCCCATCAGGGCACCCACAGGCGCAGTCCGGTGCCAGGGAACTCCGCAGCCGGCTCCCAAAGCTCTACTCCGACAAGCAGGTCCCATCACCAAAGGAGCCAGTGCTTCGCCCAACATTTAAGCCCTCCTCAACTGTCAATTTAAAGTCTGCTTTTGGTCAGAAACACCCCAAATCCATTGAGTGACCGAGGCAACGGGAAACGCCCGGCTCTACTCACGCTTGTATGAGGCTGGCGAGATCGTTCGTGGAGGGGCTGGTGCCCGCTGCTCCCATGGTGTTGTGGCCACCAGAAATCATCCCAGACATGCTGCGGAAAGAACAGCCACCGCTCAAAGCAGGGGAAAAAAGACCCAAAACAAACCTACCCCACACAGAAATTGCTTGGTTTACACCAGGAAAGGAACATCAGCACAAGGGATGCACCTTCCCACGCAGATCATGAAGTTACCCGCCAGGGAATCTCCTGCAACAACTTTTTGTTCCTTAACTGCAGACATTAAACTGCAGAATAGCTAGAAATTTAGTTTATAACAGTGTCAGCTACTGCATTCCCAGAGATCCCCCCTTCTGCAGGCGAGTTCTGCGTCATGTTTAGTTAAAACACCGCCCTTCCTCACACGAGCGGTTTGCTGGCTCCGCGTCCCACGAGCTCTACCGCCAGGACGGCCGAAACGCTGATCCACCCGTGGTGAAGAGCCCAGGGTCCCCAGCCCCCTCCCTCTGGCAGCCCCCAGGCACAGCCCCTCAGCAGTGGAAGGAGCAGGAAGAAGCAGATCAGGCCCTTCAGCCAAGTTGTCCCATGGGGGAATCAGAGGAGGAGCCCCAGCTCCCCAGCTCACTGCCCACCTGAGCTCTGAGAGGATGGTCAGGACAGGTACGTGCCTTAATTTTATGACTGCATATTAGCTAAGCATCTCTCAAACATTGGGAATTGATCCTCACAACCCTGCAGCACAAAGAAGGGAAATACCCTCGTTCTACCTCAGAAGGAGCTGTGAAATCCTGTCTCCAGGTCACCTAAACCCTGTGCAGCAGAGCCAAACTGACCCCCTCCACTGCCACGCTCCATCCTGCAGTCGTTTACACCAAGACCCCTCCCCCTCAGCACAGTCCAGAGCACTCGAAACCCACCCGGGCTCAGGGAGCTGGGCTGGTTTAGCGGCCGCCCTCCACACTTCTGGCCCAAGCGCCCTCCCGCTCCCCCCAGTCCAGACCTACTGCAAATGCCAAGCACATCAAAGGAGCAACTCAAAGAGGAAACACAAGATGGGATCAAACTTACAGCTGTTGTACTTGTGGATTGTTCATTAGGTTAGATGCCTATTTAAAGAGGGGAGAAAAAAAAACACGACACCCCATTTAGCGAGAAATGACCGGGTAGACCCGCAGATGTTGTGCCATTCAGCTGCAAAGCGAAGGCAGAAACACTTTGAAACAGATCAACGGGACAAAAATAGCAAAGAGAAGCCCAGGGCAAGACACCAGACACGGCTGGCCATGCAGAAGGCCATCCTTCCCACGCCCAGCAGGGCCCAAGGAGCAGCCTGTGAGTCAGTCACCGGCTCTTCGCGTGACCTTGAGGACAGACAAGCGCCGTTTCCGCACGGCAACACGAACACGAAGTGAGAACCAACCCGCCAGAGACACCCAGGCGCTCCCCGCGCCACGGAGCGCCACGTTTCGGCCCCGGAGAGGCCAGTGGCCGGACTCACCATGCCCC